GGGGCCGGTCCTCGAGACGGAAGAGCCACCGCTGCTAGCGAAGCCCCACCCTTGCTCTGGGGATACAAGGCAGGGGGTGGAGATGAATAGGTATGGCAGACAACTACTCATCTTCTGTGCTCATAATAATGGAATCCTTGCTTTAAATGCAGAGGGTTTGGCATGTTTGAGGAGCTGGGTCAGAACATATTGGTCAGAGGATTCATTTACTGGCAGAAACATAGTTAGCAGAGTCAGTGAGTAGGCATGGTAACAGACCAGCCAATGGAAGCTGACCTGGTAAGTGAAACTAGAAGTTCTCGCTCTGTTTTGCTCCTGTTGCTGAAGTTGCGTTTCTGCTCTGCACTTGCAACCTGTTTCTGTTTTTTGGGTTTGCTCCACGTTGGAGAAACCTACAACTGGTTTGTTAAATCTACTTAATATCTTTATAAAGACGTTAAAGGAAGCATCAGCCATCTGTTGGTTTATTTTTCTGGCACTGAATTAACGCTGCAAAACTCTGAACAGGTTATGGGCCCAGAAGGCCAAAAGAAAGGCTTGAATTGTAATTAAAGCGGAGAGACTGCCTGTTTTCAAAGTAAGAAACAAGGCAAGAGGCTCTGCAGGATGGCGAAACTCTGAATAACGTTGCTTTGCAAGGGCCCCTCTGGCTTCTCACCCCTCTGCCCAACTCTTGCCCCACTGACCGGCCTCTGCTTTCCCTCCCCTCCTACAGACAAGCAGTTCCTGGTTTTCTTCTTCAAGCAACTGAAGCTGAACCACAGCGGCCGCTACGAAGAATCCTTCCCTTACCTGTCGCCCTGCGGCCCGGAGCACAACTACGTCCGTTGCGATGACCGGCCCATTGTCTTCACCCACCTCCTGGATGGACCCCCGGGCCAGCAGTCGCTGTCCTTCTGCGGGGGCGCAGACCGCTTGGCCGTGCCCTTCCAGCCGGAGAAGCTGGTCATGTTGGCCGAGAACGGGCGGGTCTATCACCCGGGGCCGGAAAAGGCTGGCGGGGTGGGATTGGTCAAGTCATCCTTGGCCTTTGAGCTGAGCCCTTGCTTTGAGTACCAGGACGGACCCGGTCAGCCGCCCACTCATTTCCACTGGCAAGAGAAGAGGCACCCTCTGACGAACGAGCTGCTGCGGTTGATCTGAGGCCGTTGCAGAGCGAGGAAGGCCTTCCAACACTCAGAGGTCTCCTTGTTGGCACCGTTGGTTTGACAGAAACCCAAACTGCGTCCCTCCTGGGTGCTCGTTTATCCTAGGAGACCATCTCAAGAAGGTCTTCTTGTTGGCCCTCTTGGGCGTCCTTGGCTTGACATCAAATCATGTCCTTTCTGCCATTCCAGGTGCCTTGTTTATCCAAGGAGACCATCTCAAGAAG